CACTCGTTACAACTTTCAGGCTATTTTCTAAATACTCTTTTCAAACTCCTTTCATACTTGGAGAAAGCCTTCCAGAAAACATCCACCCCTCTGCAAGCCTTGCATTTGTTACCTGATCCAGTTTTGTGCTCCTTTTTCTTCCTCCCAGCTCTAACAAGCATCCTTGCCCTTTTACAAGTTAAGGTCATTCAGAGGATCTGTACAAGCAAGTAGAACACAAGCTGGACTGGAGACCTTGAAAGGCTCATGCTTACCCTCACCTTTAATAGGGAGGCACCACCCACAGAGACAACACGTTATCCCGGCATGCACCGCTCCCTCCTGATCCCAATGGAAAGTAGCGCAAATCAAAAGAACCACTGCAAGTTGGAACCTGTTGTCTCCGCGGGTGGTACCCTGCATCTGTATTAGAGATGAAGGCAGCTGTAATCTCTTTGGGTTTATGCAAATGGATGCTGCTGCTCCAGCTCCTGGCTAGCTGCCAGGGTAAAAAAGGGAAAACAAAACCCACCCCTCATGTCAATATGAAGTTTGTGTAGATCAGGAAACCCAATTATTGGAATTTGCATAAAAAGCTAAACATCAAAACACAGTTGGCACGTTTCTTCTCAGGATGTGGGAAGGCCACAAATACAAATCTTATCTCTCAACCTAGCCATAATTTAAGCTTTGCTTTCTCTATTGTGGCTGTGAATTACAACCTTGCAATTTGAATATAAATAAGACCATTCAAGGTTTTCAGGAACTCTATCACATCATGGTTCTCATTTTCCACACACTTTTAAAACTGTTAACAGAAAGAATGAGCACTCAAATTACAGGAACAGTTGATGGGAATTCAGCCTTGGCCTTACAGCAAATGATTGAAGTCAGTCTGATGAAAACACACACCACTTCCTTGCTCCCTGAACAGCCCTACAAAGACCTGAGCCAGCATAATCCAGGGTTGCAGCACACCGTGGCACCGCAATAGCTGAAGCTGGCATCACCACTGATGGAATCAGAGTTCAGCTATGCTTGCTGACACTGCATTCTTCAGGCACCCATTCTGCATGTACAGAAGTCACCATCATGCCTGGAAACTGCAGGAAGGATCAGGTGCCTGTGCCTTAGTCCTCCCAATGGTGTGGCACTGGAACATGGATCTGCGATTGCCAGCTGAGGCACTGTGCTCTGTGCAGATGCATGGGACATGTTCCTCATTGCTGACATTGCTGTGGGGCAGTAGCTGCCAAAAGGGCTGGAGAAGGGTGAAGGACCTGTCTCCTCTCCCACATCTGCACCAGCCACACCAGCCAGTGTGCTCAAATGCTACATGTGCACACACCACTGCAGAGCAGAATCTCTTCAGAAAGCAAGAACAGTGAAAAGAAAAAAAAATAAATCACTCTACTCCAACCCTGCTGAACATATTCAAGAGTTACACATTGATTTTGATTTTAAAGGAGACAGAAAAAGTTAAAAATGGAGCATAGCTTGAAGAAATGCCCTAGAAGGATTTCTGCTGCCACTGAAGTTGTGCAACATGCTCAACTGGAGAGACTTATTTCCATGCAAGCAGCTTGGCATGAAATCCCACTGAAAGGCCTGTGGTTCCCTAACACTGTCATGACGTCATGGATCAGGATGTTTAGCACCATCAGCCCAGCACAGCTGGTGTCATGGTTGCCATTATACCATGAAACACTGAGTGGTTTTAAATGAAAAAGGTTTCCCCATTTGAAACTCTTAGATTTCTTCCATCTTATTCTGCAGACTCTTAAAGCCAGAGCAGTTCTGTAAAGCAGAGCATAGCTGATATTTAAGCAGAGCAGGAAATAGTGCTGCTTTAACTGAAAATAAATCTGTCAACAAGGAGGCACAGGGAGAGCCCCGCTTCAGACTTTTCAGGTTCTTATTAAAAAATATAAATTAAAGGCAACATTTTCACGTTACTTGCTACATCTGTTTGCTATTCCATTATAAATAAAAATACAGGGGCCTCCAATTCAGTGTTAGTTTGCTCAGAAAAGAATCAAAAAGTGCTTTTCATTTAATACTGCATTGTAATTGGTCTAGATCATATTGCTACTGGAAAAGGTCCACAAGAAATTAACCAAAGTCAAGCTGGGAAATTAAAAAGACCTTTGGCAGTGTACTACCTTTACCTTTCTAAAGCAAGTTCATGGAAGCATATCCCTGTTGCAGGAACCTTGCTGATCAGATCCAGCTCTTTACATTTTGCAGAGAGCTGGGAAACAAAAAAAAAAACCAAAAACACAAACCAACTTCTACATCCAGAGGCTAGGGGCATTCAGGCAGAGTTCAGTGCCACACTTCAAAAGAAATCTTCCAAAGAGTTAAGTAACTCCCCTGTCACCCTGTGCTCCTGCCAACCGTCCCACAGCATGCTTTACCTGGGACAGAAGAATCACAAGGTCCTTTAGGCAACAGAGACTGATACCCATTTTCTTAAACAAAAGCTTTATTAAATTCCCTGCTGCAGAACATGAGTCTTACAACACACAGGAAAACCACTATGTTCCTGCAGCATGCACCCAGTGCTGGTTCGGTGATGTGCAGTTTGCATAGCAGTGGTGTTTCAAGAGTAGTTAGCAAAAAGCAACTGCTGTTAGGGGCAAGAATTGCTGGCGAGTTCTCAGCTCCTTCGAAAATCTTCTCTCCACCTGTCTACAGTGCTCACCTACCAGGTGATAACTTCAGGTTCAGTGTTTAAGGGATGTGTAGGTTTTGACAGCTTTACCACATGCACAGTTGTGTACTAAGACTTATTACCATAAAGGCAGAGCCAGCTTTCTTGACAGCACGTGTAATATCAAGTTTTGTAGCTCCAAGAATGAGGCCAAAATAAAAGGTGAGAGACTGGAGACAGCTGAACACCTCAGGGTGAGTGACACACGGACACCCCACTGTGGAGCCGGGGACACAGTTCCAGCTACAGAGAGAAGGGAAACATACACAGGTGCTCAGGGCATAGAGATCACTTTGATGGATCAAGTAGGCCTGTGCTCAAGAGGCTGCAGCCGACATCCCCAAAGCAGCACAGCACTGCAGGTTCACTATCTGCTTACAATGTTCAGCCAAGGCACATCAGCTCTCTCTCTAAGCCTCCTCCCAGGCTCATGTACACACAGAGCATTCAGGGACTGCAGACCTCCCAGAGCATGGTGCAGACTTTGCTCCTGCTTCACTCAGCAGTCCTTGGAAATCGCCTGCAGCCTGTGTCTGAGTTGGGGGTTTAATTCCTGTGCCCTGCAACCAGCAAAAAGCATGCGCATATTCCACTATCTCAATCCAAATTTCCACACCAAACCATATGCCCATATGAAGAATTAGGAGTTCTCATGCCAGGAAGTTATTTCAAGTTGTGACATTCCACCTGTGTGATACTTTCACTCCTCCACCCCCAAGCTTTCACTGCAGAAGAATAACAGGTTTTTATTTAGCAGACAGGTTTTGAAAGTGAGAAGCCAAAGCATGTACCAGGGCTAAGGAGGCTGTGTCCTTACATATTTTGCCTCTTCAGTCATAAAAACACGTCACCCTTCATGTCTTCAACTGAAACATTCATATCCACTCCCTGCTCTCACCAAAAAACAACATCAGGAAAGAGTCTAAGCAAAGAGAAGAGTCTCATCATGGGAAAAGCTCAGCCTGCCAAGTCACCAAAGAGAAGACAGCACAGAACTTACTCCGTCCAAAGTTAGTCACACCAAAACAAGTGGGCAAACACAGGTCACCTAGTATTGGCAACTTCAGATTTTCAGTTGAAAAGATGAAATACCACAATCTGAGAACAAATGTCCATGGCAGGGTCTCTTGTGGAAGCAAGGGAAGGAATATGTAACTTAATTTCTTTCACTTGCCCTACCTTTCCACTGCCCCAGCAACTAGTGACTGGGGTTTGCTGTTAGCAGATGTGTTGGTTACATGCCCCAGGTAGATCTCTGTGACACTAGGGTCCTATATAAAGTCAGTTTTAAAAGACTTGCTTCTGAAAAACAGTTCTGTAGCCACAAGCATGAGGAGAAAAAAACAGAACTGCCTTGAGAACATGGGTAAGGTTAAAGAAACTGCCTGACTGCTGCTGTTGCAAGAGAAGCACCTGGGTGAAAAACAGTGGTGGCTGAATTTTAACCAAGACAAACAAGAGCAGCAAAGTGTGGGTGAACAAACTGGGACCTTTGCTGCACCATTCATCGAGGACATTTACTCTGCAGCTATGAAACAGCATAAAGACAGTTTCACTAAACAGTAACAGCAGAAACCTGCCATTTCTGGCTGGTTTAAAAGGTCATGTTCACAGCCCCAAGATCACGACAGCTTGGCCATTGTTACTCAGTTCAGCGGCAGTTAAAGAGCAAGGTCAGTAAAATAAAAACAAGAATAAGGTTAGATCATGCTGCTTGCCTGGTAAGTGCCTGCTAAAGACCATCCACACCAACAAGCTAAGAAAATAATTTAATTACTGGAGAAAAGACAGTCAAACAATTAGAATTTTATGCTTCTGAACACAAATTGGCACTTCACACAGCAGCCACTCCGGTGGCAGTCCAGTGACAGTAACACTGCTGTGCCAGCAAGAGGAAAAATGCCCTTACAGCAGTTTTCCAGAGGAAGGCATTTAACATGCACAGGGAGGGGTCAGGATTTAAGCATATGACCATAGCAGACTACCAGGAGTGAAAAACAGACCAAGACAGTCAGTTAAAAAAAAAAATCCCAACAGCTAAAGGAAATTTAAAAACAAACACACACACACTCAGCCTAACGCTGACGAGGAAATACACTGCGTTCAAAGCCTGCAGAAGGGAGCACAGTAGTTCTTCTGCATCCAAGAACAGGCATACATCACTCCTTACAAGACCAGGGCAAGGATATTCTCAAGCAGAAACCCAGCTGTTCAAATAATGTGAACAGCAGGACAGGGTTTTATCTATACTCCCCCAAAATGCAACACAAAAAACGACACACAGCAACAGAACTTAAATGACACTTACTCATGTACTCTATTGTCTCCATACAAGTCACTTAAGCCGAAGCTGACGTAGTGCCAGTGCTCAGGAACATTCAGTGCTGGGTTTCCCAGGTTTCTGTACATGCTAACGTAGTCCAGAGGGTCAGGTCCTCCCAGCCTGCATTAAGAGTAGAAAGACTTTTAGGTGAGGCCCTCAGTGACATGGTTTAGTGGTGGTTCTCACAGTCCTGCAGTAATGGCTGGACTTGATCTTAAAGGTCTTTTCCAACCTAGCTGATTCTATGATTCTTTAAGTTAATTCAAGACAAGTGGGAAGTCTCCACAGATGCTACAAAGGGCTGTACAAAGACCTGCTTTAAAACATAGCTAGTGACAAAAATGAAATTATCATGTTCAAGTTACCTCTAAAACAACAAAAATTGAGGAGAAAAGTTGGGTTAAGTCCAGAAAGCTTCAAGCACAGGAAGGCAAAGCGCATGTGTGCAACATACTACAATGTTTTTAATGTTAAAGCATAAAAACCTCTGGAAAATCGTATTAAAGCTTCCGCAAAACACAAAGAAAATTGGAAAATTATACTAGTAAAAGAGAAATAGCTGTATCTGCATTGCAAGCTCTTAATTCAGTCCAGAGACACATACCTCAAATAAAAAAAAACCAACAGTGATCTTATTCTTCAAAGCAGAATTTGAAATAGCTAAGTTTTGAAAGGAGTAATCCATATTTCTGAACACAGACGTGACAGTGAAGAGTGGAGGAGAAAAACACTGACTCAGAAAAATTAGTACCAGAACTTGTGAAACACGCTAGCTGCATTAATCAAGAACAAGTAAAAAGCATCACCGCACCCTCTGCTTCAACATTAGAATAGGTTCCTTAGAAGAACCTTACTTAAAAGTCAACATAGCACAGCTAGACGGAGTTAAGCAGCGATCACCTGCAGCCTCCCTTCCCACGACAATGAAACAAGGCTGGTGTGGCAGCAGAGAGCACAGCATCCTCCTCTTCACTTCTGCCAATGCAATGGTGGGTCAGCTCCCCACCAAAGGATGGGACATGCTTGACTGTTTTGCTCACTGTTCGCCTCGTCAATCATAGAACACCTACCACAAGCCCTTGCTCAATGGTCCAGCAAGAGGCCAGCCAGCACCAGGTTAAGCTGATGTTGTGGAGCACCTGCAAGAAGATGCTTTCCAGAGTGAGCTCTGAGGAAAGTTAATGCACAAGGGAACACGCTGAGTTTATTGCCTGCTGGGAAGATGGTGCCAGGAAGGGCCATGAGAACAGGCTTCCTTTTGCTTCCAGAAAGTGCCTACATACTCTACATGGATTTCTTGTGACAGTGGTAAACTATTAGATATCCTCTGCCCACCTTCTGCTGCCCAACATTATCAATCCTGTACAAAGTAATGTATCAGCTTGCATTAAAAGGTTTGTGGGTTTTCTCCATAACTGTGCTGTGCTGCCTCCCTCCTACTGCCACAGGGAAAAAAAGAAAAGCAGAGCAGCATTTTCTAACATGAGCGACTTTCCCCAGGACAGCTTCTCTGAAGTCACATAAGGCCACCAGGGTGGCTTGAGGCCAGCTCCAGCTTCCCAGTGCGTCAGTCAAGGATGCAGCCCAGAGTCAGTAAGCATACCATGCCCAGTAATGGCACAGAGGTCCATTGGCAAGGGTTAAGTCATACTGTGCAACCTTCTCACATGACAAGTAATATCTTTATGGTGTAAAAGGCAAACTAGTGAGTAAGAATGGGGAATTAGACCCTGGGATGGAGCAGAGTTTTACCATCAATGGCAGCCTGGGAAAACCTGTTCTCAAAGTCTAGCAACAGCTTTAAACACTGAAGAAAAAAGCAAGTCCTCCTCTGACATACCCCATCTCCACCTGTTCCATCTCACTGGCATCAGGTCACACTGGAGGCTGAGATCTCTGCCAGATACCCATTCAGGTGGCTACATTCAGACTGTGGCACCAACATCCTGGTCAGCATTCAGGCTCCCCATGGGAGTAACTCCCTGATCCATGATAGAAGCAGCCAAGTGGAATTCCAGCCAATACCCCAGCAACTCTAGCCAGGATAGTCACTTACCCCCAAAGAGTGGCAGTGAAAAGCAGCAGCCACACACAATTCTTACCTGACTGGGACAACTTAAGAACAAGGAAGGTCAGTACACTGACTACCACATCAATGTGAGGGATTAGCAAGCAGTCAGAGCAGATGTGTAAGATTTGCAATGAAAACACCTCCACGTGCTGAGCAACTAGGATCTTCCACACACATTAAACCTGCTTCCAAACTGGGTTTAATAATACCTTAGATATCAAACGATTCACACTGGAACACTGTCGACACAGGCACTTCGACACTGACAACACACAAGACAAACCCTTATACTGCCCTTTTTCAGGACAGGAACTGGTACCTTTACCCTGTCCCAGTAGCAGGTTAGTTAGCTAAGCTAACTAGTTGAGCAGCGCTAATGCCTCTGCGGTACATCCTCCCGCCCACAGCCACTGTTGTAGGGTTCGACCTTGTATCACAATCTACTTATCAGTACACACGCTCACACAAAGAGCTGGAAGCGTTGGAGGATTTTATTAGGAAGAACCCAACTTCAAAGCCAGAGGTACAGTACAAATTTGTTACACTTCTATTCACAGAGCTATTCAGGAGCAAGAAGAGCAGCCTCGGGGGAAACTGGTATTTGCATCTGCACCAACAGCCTTCTTTTGACTGATGTGAAGAGCACTCTGAACTTTTGGTGGAAGGAGAAACCCAAAGTGGGCAAAGAGGAAACAGCTCCACAATAGGGGAAAAAAATAAATAGAAAATTCCCAGTCCATTCACCCTGGAAAATCCTTGGTGGATTGTTTGCAGTTGCTTCCCAGCAGTTGACAACAGGACTGTTTTTCAAAGCTACCTTTTGACAACCCTTCAGAAGTAGTCTGTGATCCCCAAGTGGCTGCAGACCACAGGTCAATACACTGGTTTTTGAGTACATGGCCTAAATCCAAGACAGCTGATGAAAAAACCAACTGTCCAGCCCAAATTCTGCCTATCTGAAAAACCTATCCCAAAGCAAAGTACAGATCTGGGTTTTTTCACCAGCAATGCTATGCATAAAAGTATTTCACTTAGAGATACTCAACCATGTTTTAAAAAATAAAAGTAGGTACTGGATATCAACAGAGAGAAACTCCTCCTCAGTGCATGACCTTTATAAATGCAGCCAGGAACTCTTCCAAGAAGTTCTGATTGCAATCACAAACTCTCTCCCAAGATATGCAAATAGCATTTAGAAAAAGAGTAGTTCCATGAAATAACCAACACAGCTATACCCCTTCGTTTAACAGGTACGTGCTTCTGCAGATCCTGCACTGTTAAGAAGTGAGGATCTGCTCTGCTGTGCAAGCCAAAGAATAGAACTTCAGCTCCCTGAACAAAAAGAACTGCTGTTAACCATAGAGAAACTGATACGTATAATTAAAAGCTGATTAGTGTTACAATATTTCTCCTAAGGCAGAGAATTTTTCTCAACAATTTCCTCTTCTAACCTAAACCAACTAATAGCTGGCAGCCCAGGCAGAGGAAAACAGGCTCACAGAGAGCAAGCGGTGGCAGAAGTCTTTTTACCAGACTTAACAAAACCAAGCTCCAAATTTCACCTAACAAAGGGAGAGAGAGTACCTGCAGTGTCCATGTAAGGCTCCACCTCTCACAAGAATTTCCTGTGCAGGACAGCAGGAAGAACCTCACTTCTGATTTCTACAAGTGAAGCTCTTAGCTCTTGCTTCCAGCTGAGCTGCCAGTCGGAAGAACTGCTAAGTGGAAAATGCCAGGATAAACAGCCTCCACACTGCTTCTTCCTTGCAGCTGCCCATCACTGCCAATTGCAGTTTTGTTAGTGTTTGAGCTCTAAGTGCAATGAAGCCCTAATCAACCCCTTAAGCAAACAAGCAGCAAGGTTTCTTCCCAAACCAGGGTCTCTGCCATTCTTTGTTACAGACCTAAATCTCCTTCCATGCCACACAAACCTCACATCAATTTAGTCAATATTATTTCAAGCAGTTGAAAGAAGAGAAGTAGTGACTCCCCAATCAAGGTGACTGGAAACTCATCAAGCTTGAATATCAAGGATTAGAAACAGGTGCAAACCCAGAGCAATAGGATCCCCACCACCAAAGTACTGCAGTACTGACCCACACAGATGATTAAGAAACTGTATTTTGAGGTCTCAGATTTACAACATCTTATCTCATCCCACTGTTAAAGTCAAAAAAAACCCTAAGCAATAAGGGCTAACAGACATATTTCTTGCCAGAATCACATAAAACACTCCTTTGGAAAACAAGCACCCTAGCTTGACTTATTCTATTGCTTGATGTTATTCTGCTGTTGCTTAGATAAGAGACATACAGGTTGAAGTGAACTGTAAATAAAGAAGCTGAGCATTTACTAAACTTTTTCCAACTGCTGGAGTAGGGACTGGCCAATGTCAGGCACAGCAAATGCTCAGGGTGACCTGATTATGGTCCTCAGGCCCAGAACAGGGGGCTGGGCAGAACGGCAATGGTAGAAAGCAAAAGAAAATGCTCTTTGCACAGGACTAGACGCCAGACACTTATCTAGATAGCTAAACATCCAAGTGCTTCCTTCATGCCACTGTCTCACATAAACAACTGCTGTTACTGGTGTCAGACACTGTGTCAGCAGAGATGGTGAGCAGCAGATTCGCAGTCTGCGGTAACACATGGCTGCGCAAGGGCAAGAGAAGCTGGCTCTGCCCCATGGGTTTTATGGGTACATGCACAGCACACATCTGGTTTTGAGGCTGGAACGCAGGTTCACTTCTGGTCAGCACTGGCCATACTCTAACTTCAAGCACAGGGCCAAAAGACAGAGCTCATACCTCCTGTCCAGGCAGACAAACTCCAGCCCCATGCTCTCTGTGGGAACCCTTCCACTGGAGTAACACACACTACATTTTCCCATGACCTGCCCCAGCCGAGGCCCTCATCAGCCATCTCTCAGCAAAACTACAAATCATCCCCAAAAGCCCAACGCATCCTGCTGTCTTCAGAGCATCCCTCCCTAGACCCTTTCTCCTACTGCCAATGCACCCTGGCCAGGACACCCCCCCAAATACACCTCCCAGGCGCCCAACTGTATCCCCAGTGCCTCCTCCCCCAGACACATTGCACAGCTGCAAACCTCCTGCATCACACCCCATACTCAGCACGTAACCCCTACTCACTCTCCCCTTGCTGCAAACCTCCACAGGCCCACCGCCTCACCCCCCTCCACCCCATGCAGCATCCCTAGCCCCACGGCTCCCTCCATGCCTCTACCGATTCCCCTCTCCTCCCTCGCTCCCCCCAGACCCTCTCCAACCCCACACAAGGACCCAACCTTGCTCACCCCAAGACCCCCGGGCCCACCGCTCCCCAGAGAGCCACACAAGGCCTCAAGCCCCACTGCTTCCCCCCACAGCCCCACACAAGGCCCCTGGCCCCCTCCAGGCCGCAGCTCCGGCCGCCTCACCAGTACTTGAGGATGGCGGTGACCTGGAGTGGGTTGGGCTGGTCGGGGTAAAGACGGCGGCACTCGCCGTAGATACCGTGCAGTCCCGGCGGGAACAGCGACGGAAAGGAGCCGGACCCGGACCCCGAGCCTGAACCGGGGCCGCCCGCGGGGGGACCCCCGCCAGGCCGCACGCCCTCCATGTCCCGGGGACGGCGCAGCGGCTGGTCACGGCCTGCTCGACTCTGCTCGGCTTAACTCAGCTCCGCTCAACTCAACTCAGTCCCACTCCACTCCCGCCCCGACGCGCACCCGGCCCGGCCCAAGCGGCGCTGCGCGGCGCGGCGCTGCGGGAGGAGAGGGCGGGACCGGCTGCCCTGGCGACGGTGACTGACGGGGCGGCTCCACCAATGGCGGGGCGCGGCGCGGAGGTCGGCCGCGCCTCTTCCCCCTCCTTCCACGCCACGCCGCCAGCGCGCCCTCTAGCGGTGGCCGCGGTGCACCGCGTGGAGCGGGACGAGGGGCCCCGTGAGGTACCGGGGGGAGCGCGGCGGCCGGGAGCGGTGAGGTGAGCAGGGTCCCGGCCCTGTCGAGACCCGGGTTACATCAGGGCAGCCCCCTGGCTGCAGCCATCCCGGCCTCGGCTTGCAGCCTGCGCCAGTATTACCTGACAAAGTGAGGGTGTGAATTGCAGCGGTTCAGGAGCTGCTTCTGCTGGATTCCATCTCTTCTGTGCAGCATGGCCAGGGACACAGCTGGGGTGAAGCTTAGCACTGCTCTCCGTGGGGTGTGGGACCAGGGCTGATCTCCAAGACGTGTTCAGCTAATAGCCTTATTTACTGCTGCTTTTACAGCTTTTGTTACGGCTACCGTTACACCTCCAGTCCTCACAGTGCCTTTTTCTCTCCGTGTACCCTTCTGTATGTGCAGGTACCTCAGAGGAAGCTGTCAAGGGCTGTCTGATCAAGGATCTTGGCCGGTGTACTAACACTGAAGATCTGGCTCATTCCTGAGTTGCAGCTACATCTGTGGTCCTGCAAAGCTTTGTACGTATGTGTGAGCTGACATGCTCAGTAGTCCTGCACATTGTTGCTAGAGCAGCATCCTGCTTTTTAATCATCATAGAGAAAAATGAGCCACAAAGCGCTGAGATGATAGGATGAGTGCTCCTGCTTTGTTGCATCTCTCATTTAAATAGCTGAGAGCTTATTCTAATATTCACAATGTACCTTTTAGGGGATTGCATACAGTCGAGAAGGTGGCAAGCAGACAAATGACTATCTGCTAAGAAAGGAGGTAAGCAGCTGGTATCCTTGTGAATCACTGCTTCCCCCAGTGAACAGTATTTCACTTATCCTGTTACTGTGATACTACTTTATGTGACATCTGCCTGAGAAGTCAATTACGGTCAGCTGAGAAGGTAAATAAAACAGAATTATGTGTGAAATGCTGTGTGGGCTTAATAAGTACATTGTGAGTTTCTCCTGGCATTTACTGTGGTGATACAATGCTAATCTTGAAATAATTTAAAACTCCTCCATCCTGGCTATCTATAAAAAGCCTTTTACACTATGTGAGAATCACAAAGATAAATACCTGAGATGAGATTGTTTGCTTGGGCTAAAGCAGAAACTATAGAATAAAAGCCCCAGTGTCCATAGGAAAGATACAGTAAGAGGGAGATGGGTTCTGAATTGGCTTCCACGTGCACTTACAGTGCTGACCTTCACTTTAACTGGTTTCAAGACCCAGTGTCTTGCTCAGAGTTTCGAGTGAACATGTCATTTGAGTGTCTTTGTCAGTCACTGATTATTCAAAGTGCTTTTAGAACACAAGTTTGGGTTGGAAGGCACCTTGAAGCTCATGGAGTTCTAACCCCCTGCCACAGACAGGGACACCTTCCACGAGACAAGGTTGCTCCAAGCCCCGTCCAACCTGGCCTTGAATGCTGCCAGGGTTGGGTCAGCCACAGCTTCTCTGGGCAAGTCAGCCAGACAGCTTCCCATTGTTGCTTTACATGTAGCAAATGGAAACCAAAAGGTAACACATTGTTTGGTACCACAATGCCTCTTGTGTGTGGTGGTGTGCTGCTGATTCGTTTCTGGTTGCTATGCCTCAGAAAGTACAGAGAAGGGAGGAGATGCTTGGAGGTAACAGATATGTCATGACCGGCAGCTTGTAGAGATAACCCCATGAAATGATGGACAGCAAAATGCTGCCATTAGCATAGATTCCCTCTACAAAAGGTGATGGGATCAGTTTCTCTCAATTCCCATAAAAAAAAAATAGGGGAAATCCCAATCCATTAAACTGTAAATCATGCATCTGGAACGCAGTGGGATTTGGTAGAGGTGCACGGCTCCCCCTGCACGCAGCGCTCGGGCCTCACGCCGAAAACCCCATTCCTCTCCCCGTTGTCCCGCACTACAGCTCCCGGCACCCCCGCTCCTTCCCGTCGGGCGCCGCGCAGGCCCCGGACTACACTTCCCAGCGGCACCGCCGCCGCAGGAATACATCGCCCAGGCGGCCCCGCGCCGCCGTTCCGCGCGTGCGCCGCCGAGGGCTGGGCTGTTGCTCCCTGACGGGCGGCTGCGGCGGGTCCTCGCCATGGAGTCCTACGACGTGATAGCGAACCAGCCCGTCGTGATAGACAACGTGAGTGCGGGCGGCCAGGCGCCCCGGGAGCGGGGAGGGCGGGAAGGGCCGGCGGGGCGCAATCCCTTTGTCATGGGGGATGGCCGCGCCCCGCCCGCCACCACCATTACCCCCCCCATTCTCCCGCCGGCCTGGCCGCCGCCTCGGGCCTTCGTACAGCGCCGTACGCTGCGTCCTCGCAGGCCGCCGCCGGGGCGGGGCGCCGCGGCTCGGCGCACCGCGATTGGCTGAGGTGCGTGTTTGTCACCCGCCGGAGGGCCGCTGCCCCTCGCCGGTGGGGAGCAGCCCCCGTCGCCGCCGAGGTGTGTGGTGGCGGGGCGCGGCGGCCCCATTGGCTGTGGCGCTGTCAGTCAGCGGGGCGGGGGGGGGCCAGCCCTGCGTTACCTGCCCGGTACCTGTGTTCATTGGCAGCCCGGGGCCGCCCGTGAGGCGCGGCTGCATCCCGGCCGGGCGGCCCCGCCTGGTGGCGAGGGACAATGAGGGCTGGTGGGCCCGGTTTGGGCCGCGCTGCCCCCTCCTCCCTGAGGGACCGGGCTGGAGGCGATGCTCTGCACCAGCGCCCCAGCACCAGCCACCTCCCCCCGGCGCTGATCACAGCAAGAGAGTGCTGGCACCCATGGCGTGGATCCCGCGCGGAATCCTGCAGGAGCAGAGCTCCAGAAGGAGCCGCGCTCAGCATGGGTTGCATCAGCTGTAATCTGACAGTGGGGTGTGGCGTTGCAGATGGCTGCTCCCAACTGATAATGCTTCTCGTGAGCTCAAAGCAGACCTTCAACCTGTGTGGGTAATGGCTCGGCTGGAGAGGAACAGTAGTTACTGCATGTCCTGGTGAGGTACTTCTGGGTCCAGCTCTGAGTAGCTGCATCCATGTTGGGGTCTCAAGAGAAAGGACCATCCAGGAAGGGGTGGGAGGGCATATCTTGGACACTGCCTCCGTATAGTGAGTCACAGATTGATGCTCCTCCCTTCTGACTTCTACTGCCAGTGATTCAGATTTTGTTGTCTCGAAGGGTCAGTGCTGTGCTCACTTTTTTTCTCCAAATCTTAATTTCTGCTGAATCTTTTTGCCATACAACGTGTGGACTTGCTAGCCTAGCACTTCTCAACCTATTCCCTTTATTCCCCATAGGCTGAATGATTGTAGGTCTTCTCAGATCAAGCCAGTTATTTTTCTGACCCCTTCTTTATTATCAATCCCAATTGACTCTCTATATCTTTGAGTTCTCTGACACAGTTTTGTTTTTGTTTTTCTCCCCTGGAACTACAGCAGAGAGATTTAGTTAGACATTGAAAGAAAATACCTAATGGAGAGGGAGATTAAGCAGT